GATCGACCTAACTGTTGTCCTGTGGTGAGAGAATCTGATTGGTTCAGTATGTTGTCACTGCTTGTACAAATCTTTTGTACCTGTTTCCTCACAGGCTATTGAGTCAGAAGTTGGCAGCTTCTAGATCTGATATGTTCTGATGCGATTGGCCAGGGGCCAAAGGCAAGGTCATACATTAGAATATTGTTACCCATTTGTCAGGAAATACCTCCGACTCTTCTTTCATTAGGGACTGTCACAAGGAAAGCTTTTCTCAGAAGGATGGCTATGGGCATGGCAGAAATCTGGGTTGCTTATTCTGGACAAGTTCCATGGGAGGAAAGTTAATGTACAAGTACTGAGGGAAGGGGTGGTCAAAATTATACATACTTAAGATTTAATACGCAAGAATTTGTTTCCTTTTAGAGAACTTTTTCATGATCTGCCATTCTCTCTCCCAAAGGAAAAAGATTTAGTCCTGCCATTTTGAAGCTTTTGTTTAAACTGCCTTCCCATGATCTCTAATGTTCTTGACTTTACTCCTTGGCACCTGGGCACAAGGGGAAACCTGTGACAAGATGTGCAGTGTATGTGCTGTTTTCTGTTCTCTTGTTATAAATACTGAATATGGGTGCTGCTAAGAACTTGGCCAGGCTCCTTAGCTTGCATAGGGCCCTCGAGTCTGGGTGCGTCGCACCATCATTCTTCAGCTGGGATTCTGCTTCCCACTGTCTATCCCTCAATTTCTGCATTGGGGTTCCCTTGATCCTGCCCTGAGGCCATCTTCTAGCAGAGGGATTAATTCTTAGCTCCATTTCTTATTCATTCCAACAATCTTTCCTATTTCTCCACATCCTGCTGAAACCAAGGGACATCTCCGGTATAGAGTGGCACTGCAGACTCACTTTGCCTAAACCTACCATGTTACCATTTTCCTTTCTACTACTCTGGGCAGTGGTTTGCTCCTTCACGATGTGAAATTGGGGACCCAAGCTGTCTCTACTCTGATAACTCCAAAGCCTGAATTTCAGTATTCTAACACGGTAGTTAATTCAATGTACTTTTTAAGTTTCTTAAAGTTAGTAAATGATAATGTATGTGAAACACCTCAGAGTGGTATAGAGTAGATGCCTAAAAATGATTGCTAATATAATATTCTAGGTCATCGCAAACCTGGAAACGTACCTCACTTTCAGTGAGCATCTCTGGGATATCTGTGTAGTAAGTCTTATGATTTCTGAAACATTTCTATATGTTCAGTGAGCAATTATATCATTGACTGGTGTCACTTTTTAGATATTAGAGGTTATTTTAATTTTTATTATTATTTTCTTGTTCATTTTTGAGAGAGCGCACACAAGCAGGGCAAGGGCAGACAGACAGGGAGAGAGAGAATCCCAAGCAGGCTCCAACCCTGGGAGCCAAAAGTGGACTTGAACCCACGAACTGTGAGATCATGACCTGAGCTGAAATCAAGTGCTTAACCTATTGAGCCACCCAGGTGCCAAGAGGTTATTTTTAAATGTACTCTCCTTCTAGAGATTATGTGGGCACTATGGATTTGGAGCAAAGACACTTAGAAGTTTCCAGTGAAAAAAAGGAAGGGAAACCATATTCTCTGTTGTCTCCAAATGTAATAGTGCATGCTTCTTAAACCCAGTTAATTAAGATTGTAAGAAAGCAAGAATGTACAGGTGGTACATTTTTCTGTTAAAATCTGTGGCAAGGATGGAAGTGAGAGAATTTGAACTATAGAAAAATTAAAGCATATTAGTGTATCAGGAGGGAAAACATCCTGTCTAGGATTCTCTTTATTGTGATGTATTCTTTCTAGTAGAAGGAATGGAAGCCAGTGTCATACAGCATATGAGGAATTGACATATGATTTTAATGGACCTCTGTTGGGTGGCAAAACCCAAATTATTTATACTACGCTCTTTTGTTTTATTTATTTATTTATTTATTTATTTATTTATTTATTTCCTGGAAAGAGCTTGGATAAAATGGTGAAACAGACAATTATTTTTTAAAAAAGATAAAAAGAACAGGAAGAGAAAAAGAAAAGATACTTAAGGTTCTGTTTTTTTTTTTCTTAATATATTTTTTTAACGTTTATTTATTTTTGAGAGACAGACAGAATGTGAGCAGGAGAGGAGCAGAGAGAGAAGGAGCCACAGAATCCGAAGCAGGGTCCAGGCTCTGAGCTGTCAGCACAGAGCCCGACACAGGGCTTGAACTCTTGAACCATGAGATCATGACCTGAGCCAAAGTTGGATGCTTAACTGACTAAGCCACCCAGGTTCCCCAAGGTTCTGTTTAAAAAAGAAAACAAAAGCAAAAAAAAAAAAAAAAAAAAAAACAAAACCCAACTCTGTTAACATACTAAATATTGTAGAAATAGGGTTTTATTTAGTGGTGGGAAGAATTATAAGTGTAGGTACTTTATAGCAATATATCATATAATCTTAAAAATCCACTGAACTCTTCTCCTCTGAAAACTTTTTGCTAAACATATACCAGGAGAGTTTTTGAGAGCCTTCGCAGTACCTCTAACAAAAACAACAAAGAATATTACATTCTTTAAGACCAGAAACAAGAACTACTTCTTTTGGTGGGGCAGTTATATGGTCTTAATTCATTTTGATCACCAAGAAAACATTTCAAATGTGGTTTTATACATTAAAAAGTACAACAGGATATTTATATTGGGGCTGTAGACTTCAGCTTCCTTGACCTCATTTATTTAAAGTTTATTTGTAAGTTAGATACTGTTTTTTTCCCCCTAAGGATTTAAAAATTACTATAGAATCCATCTGAGAGAATATTGTGTATATATTTGAGAGGATTTGTGTATACTTGAATTGAATTTTTACTTCTGATTCATAATCCATTCATCCTTCAAAGAACCTATAAGATATCTGGCATATGATGTAGGTAGTGACTTAAGTGACATTGTGTGTGGTGCATACTGTGAAGTACAGATTGTGTATTTGGGACTAATCTCTCCCAACTCTGACTTCTGTTGCAGTCCCTGTACCATAGGAAGAAGGTCAGATTTCATACAGAAGCGAACACAATATTAATGGTACAAAGCACAACTGCCTTTCACGCCAATTAGCTTTATTGGCTTTACCGCAAAGAACTAAATGTCCTGGATCAATTACAGCGATGTTGAGGCTTACCTGTTTGTTTCCCAAATCAATTAATCTATTAAGGAGTTCGTGTTCCTGGATGTCACCTTAGGCTAAAATGAAAGAGAGAGGCTTAGGTTGGTTGGAGTTGTTTGTGGACAACCTGGTCTGTAGAATAAGACTCAATAATATGCCCCTTAGCAAGAAAGTGTAAGCAATCCAGTAATATGCAGGAATTTCAAACAAAACTAAATATGGGGAATTTATAAGCATAGACTACTGTGCCTTGAATAGTTGGGACGAAAAACCTACAAGGTCAAAGTTCAAATGAGTATTAGGGGTTCCTGGGTGGCTTGGTCTGTTGACCATCTGACTCTTGATTTCAGCTCAGGTCATGATCTCACGGTTTTGTGAATTCAAGCCCTGCATCGGGCTCCACGCTGACAGTGTGAGGCCTGTTTAGGATTCTTTCTCCCTTTCTCTCTCTCTCAGAATAAATAAACTTACAAAAAAAAAAAAAAAAAAAAAAAAAAAAAAAACAAAAAAACACTTCAAGTATTAGAAAAACTTCAGAGTTTAAGTAAAAAAGTTCAGGAATTAAGGTTTCACTTAAATATTTTAAAACTATTAATTTTGAATCATTTAAAAGAATGAAGGCTTCATGTAAAACTAATGTGTTCTGTAATAAATGTTAGCATATGCATCCGTGTGTATTTGAAACCAGTATTTATCAGTGGCATCCGTGGTCAGCTTGGACCGGGCTATAGAACCTGTTGGTAGTATTGCAGAAAGCTGGAGTTCTGCCAGCAAAAGCAGGGTTGAACTGGTTCCTGCATGTGCCTGTATTCACGTCTCATAAGACCGTAAAAACCTGCCAGGCCCTGGCTTTCAAAGATGGTTTAGTCATGCATGTGCAGCCCATCTGTTGGGCACATAAGGGATTTCCTCCTCGGCTAAGCCCAGCAGCCTCAAGCATGGCCGCTGTTTCTCCCTTCCCCCACCTTTCTCAAATTCTTTCTCTCTGCCAGGAGTGCACAGGCTCTGCAAACCAGGTGCTTCTTATGCCACTCTAGGGAAATCCTTGCACAGACACTGATGGGAGGCAAAATTATAGTCTGCTGCTCCTGCCTAAGCTTACTTTTAGCATAGCGTGGTTCAGTGATCTAAACAAAACTGCAGGGATTGAGTTTGCTAATAAAAATTATTTGCACTAGTACAGTTCTAACCAAACTTTAACGTAGGCCTCAGTGATCTTCAGCTCTTCTGTGTAATAAAGCTGTGTGTATTACCTAGATGAGCCTTAGCATGAGCTTCATGCTCTGTCTCTCAGTCTTCCTCTTCCTCCCTCTCCCTCTCTGACTCTCTCTTTGCATGAGCTTCAGCAGCATACAATTTGACCTCAACGGTTGTAGCTGTTGAGCAGCGGTAACAGTGGGAAGTCTCCTTAGAAAACTTCTTTCTTTCCCCTTCCTCTTACCTTTGCGCACTGTACACATCCTCCAAGTTTGACCTCCTGGGCTTCCCTTCCAGTGTTTTGCAGCAAGATTTAAAATAATGATGATGATCATCATCATTGTCATCCTGTTGGCAGTTAATACCAGGTTTTGAATTAGGGGAGGTACAATTTCAAGTCACAAAATTTCATACACGGATCATTGGGGTACAAGATCTCCTACCAGCTGTTAACATGACCTGCTGTTTTGGCAAACCCGTGGTCTGGCAGTGGATTTTTATTTACATAGATACTTTTGGCACATCCAGACTCCAAAAAGATCAAAATGAAGAAAGGAAAGAGTGGGTCTTTCTAATCGGTTGTTTATGGTTTACAATACATTCTGTGAACTTAAGAACCACATATGCAGTTATTAATTATCTTTTCCCTTCCGGCAGATTTATGAGAAGTATCAAGATTTGTATACTGTGGAACCAAATAATGCACGGCAGCTGGTGGAAATTGCAGCCAGGGATATTGAGAAACTTCTCAGCAACAGATCCAAAGCCCTGGTGGTGAGTTGAAATGGGCTCTGCTCATTTTATTATTTTCCATTACTTGTTTATGTTTCATATTTTATTTTCTTCAGTATGCTTTCTTTACCTTGGATACCGTGTCCATGTAATATGTTCCTAAAAGGTGAGATATCATAGTTTCATTGTGAACCTTATTTCTAATTATTGGTTTATTTTTTATGTTAGAGGATTCTTTTATATAAGAACAGTATATTTAATTGGTCCAGACATCTCTTTATACATATGTAAGTTGTGATGCATAATAATAATGTTTAAATCTATTAGACAACATAAAAGCCACACATATTGCCAACACTCATAAAACCGCCTTTGTAGCATTCTCCTTTCTGATCACCCTCCCTCCTTGCCAGAGGTGGCCAGTATACAAATATCTGATGACTCATTTCTTTTCTTTTTAAAAATAGATGTGCCTCACATAGATGTGTTGGGAAACAAGATGATTCTTGGTTTGCTTGTTTTCCAGCTTTATTAAAACCACGTTGTGCTGTGTATTATTACCAACTTGCTGTCTTCCCTCCACGTTATGTTTGTATGATTTATCTGGGTGTGTGCATGTAGCTTTCATTCACTCTTATTCACATTTAAATAGTATGAGCATATTTTATGAACATATATCTCAGTTTGTTCATTTATTCTCTGTCGGTAAATTATTATTTGAATCATCTCCAGATGAGTGCTACTATGAATAGTGCTACTCAATTTTCTTGAACAAGTCTCCTGGTTCATACATGCAGGGATATCTGTAGAGTGTTATATACATGACAGTAAAATTAGTAGAGTGTAGAGTACTCATAAAGTCACTTTTACAAAAGTATGAAAATTGTTTTCTGAAATAGTTGTATCAATTTAGACATCCACTAGCTATATACAAATCTCCTTTGATCATATTCTGGACAATAAAAGGTGATATCACATGTCTTTTTATTAAAAAAAAAAACAACTTTTTAAATGGTGATGTCACACCTCTTTTTATCAAAAAAACCTTTTTTTGAGGTTTATTTATTTTGAGAGAGAGAGAAAATGGGGGAGCAGCAGAGAGAGAGGGTGAGAAAGGGAATCCAAAACAAGCTCCACGCCTTCAGCATAGAGTCTGATGTTGGGCTTGAACTCATGAAACCCTGAGATCGTTATCTGACTGAAACCAAAAGTCGGATGCTCAACCAACTGAGCCATGCAGGTGCCCAGATTGGTTAATTATAGACAATCAAATGCGTGTAAAAGGTACCTCTGGTTCTTATTAATGAGGCAGACATTTTGTTTTATATTCATTCACCAGTTTTGTTTCTTCAGTGAAATATCTGTTCAGATCTTTTGTGTATTTTAATTCTTTAAATTAATTTGTACGTTATGTATTCTTGATAGTGATTCATTTAAGTTATATATAATGCAAATATCTTTTTTTTAAGGAATCTTTTTTTTAATTTTTGTTTATTTTTGAGAGAGAGATTGAGACAGAGTGTGAGCTGGGGAAGAGCAGAGAGAGAGAGGGGCACAGAATCCAAAGTAGGCTCCAGGTTCTGAGCTGTCAGCACAGCACAGAGCCCAACATGGGATTCAAAGTCATGAGCTGTGAGATCATGACCTGAACCGAAGTCGGACACACTTAACCGACTGAGCCACTCAGGCTTCCGAAATATCTTTTTCTGACTTGCTTGGGACTTGTCTTTTCATTGTCCTTATGGTATATCTTGATAAAATAAGTTCTTAATTTTAGTGTAGTCAAAGTCATGTTTTTAACAAGTTATTTGTATTTTAGGGCATATATTTTAAGAAATCTTTCCCTATGCTGAGATTATAAACATTTGTTCTATATCCCATTCTAAAAAGTTCTTTCAGATTTATTTATTCCACCTACCAACTAATGTCAGTATATAATGTTCACTTGCCCTTGAAATTAACTGTTTTTTCTAACCAATTTTCTCAAGGCCATTTATTAGTTTGCATAACCCTAATGAGCTCCAGTCATCAAGCTAGATACCTGGTAAGCCAGGCCCTCACCATATTCTTTCTTCTTCATTAGGATCTGGAGTATTCTGGAAGCTTCCCATTTAATCGAAGTTTTAGATTCATCATGTTATTATCCAAGAAAATCTTTAGTGGGATTTTGATTGCATTGACTCAGACCAAATTGGGAAGATCGATATCATTATGATATTTTGTCTTTTTATTTATAAATATGCTATTGTTTCCATTGAGCATGTTCTTATTCCGTTCAGTAGAGTTTTACAATTTCTTTGTGAAGTTCCTATACGTCTTCTGTTAGATATAATGCTCGAGCTATGTTTAGTTTCTCTTAGACTATAAATCACAGCAGTGTTACAAGTATTTGTCCCAGGACAATTCTGAATTTCCTGTTTACTTATCACTAACAATCAAGATCTTTATTTTATATATATGTTAGCACTCAGAAATTTTGCCTGTTTTTTTTGGCACTTATAAATCTTTGTTTCTTAAAATACCCAAGATACTGTTGTAATGTAACAGGAGAGCTCTTTGGAATATTTGAAATGCCATATTGCCTGAAGTTGAAACATTTAATTTTTTAAGAAATAAATCAGTGAGTTATCCATGGTAAAATAAGCTTTCATTACTGGAAGATTAAAAGTGTTATTATCTTCCATTTGGGGTATGTGAATACCATTTTTAAGCATCATTTATACATGTAAATGTGTTTTCAATAAAAGTTTATTTAATAAAAATAAGATAGGTACTTTTCACTTGTGATTAATATTTACTCTCTGACAGCTGAAAATGATTCTAATTATCTTGATTTTTATCAGCTTACATTTTTCCTCCAAATGTAAGAAGCAGATAATCTGGATATCAAAGTCTCATGAAAAAAGGTCAGAGAATGAAATAGGATGTATCTTGCCTTAATTGGACTAAAATGGAGCCTATTGTGACTTTCTTTTTGTCATTCAGAATTGAAGTTCTAGACACCTGGTACATTATTTGAGTCCTGTGGGGATCAGTGACTATCCCAAGTGCGTGAATGGCAGAATCTAGGAATCACAATGGCTAATTAAATGTGGAATTAGTTTGATTTTATGCCAGAGAGAAAGAGTCATGTTTGTTTTCAAACTAAATTCTTTATTTAACTGTTTTGATTCCACAAAAACAGAAAACACATTATATCAAAGGGAAATGTTTTGCGACCAACTGAAAAACAGGTGCTACATTGTACTGGAAGTGAATGCAAGATGGCATTATTAATTAACTTCTATTTTTATGGTAGGCTTATAGTCAGACTTTTGGACTAAAAGAGCTTTCTTTAATTTATCTGGGTGGGTTGCCAATATAATTCCACATGTAAATACACTGGAAAAATAATGAATATACAAATTGGAAAGAGATGATAAAATTTAATACCAGTTAGACCTTATGAGTGCTTACTGGTGGCATTATTTAATTATTTCTCATAATAATACTTAGCTCTAGACATCATTATTAGTCTCATTTTTTCAATGAGAAAACAGGGTCTTTGAGAAATCCTCTAATTTGCTCAAGGAAATTTATCTAATAACTTGAGTATGCCAGTGCCTCTTAAATTTTAATGAGCATTTACTTCACCTGTGACTCTTGTTAAAATGTACCTGTTTATTCAGGAGACCTGGCTGGAGATGCTACATTTCTAATGAGCTCTTAGGTGGGGCTAATGTTTCTGGTACAAGAACTATTCTTTGAGTTAGCTAGAATGTGAGAGCATTCAAATTCATGTGTGTCTGACTTCAAGATCTGCATTCTTACCTAACACATAAGTATATCCTTTGTCCTGAAAAAAGTGTATAATCATAAAGCGGAAGAAATGAAGGCGAGGGAGTATGCTATAAATTACTGTTCATTCAGATTGACTAGGAATTGGATATTTAGTTGGTAGAATATTCTGGAAGGCTATGAATTTTTTTTAGTGACTTCTAGATCAATTAGCCATCTCCAGAAATTGACTCAATGAAGTAAAATAATACCGTATTGAAAAAAAAATTCTTGGGGCGCCTGGGTGGCTCAGTCGGTTGGGC